TGGATGAACTGTAGAGTGAATCATCTTGAACTGCATTTCAATGAATCTCTGAGGCCAAATGCCAAACCCCTCCGCAATGGACTTGGAGCTAGTGGCAAAGCTGCTAAGTGCAGTAAGGGAACCTTACAGAGTGCAAAAGGTTATTAGCTTTCAAGACAGTGTAATGTTTGAAACAGGGATATTTCTGTGGATCTGTGGGGTAAATTCAATCTATTAAGTACAGCCGAGCAGTGCAGTGTCTTCAGAGTTATCAGCATAAATTTAAGGGCCACAGCAGGTGGCTCAGAGGAGCACCAGGAACCCGGGTTCGTTTCCAGCCTTGGGTGACTGTCTGTGTGGAATTTTGCACATTCTTCCTGTGTCTGTGTGGGTTTCCTCCGGGTGCTCCAGTTTCCTCCCACAGTCCAAACATGTGCAGTTTAGGCAGATTGGCCATGCTAAGTTGCTCAGAGTGTCCAAGGATGTGCAGGTTAGGTGGGTTAGCCGTGGTTAATATAAGGAGTGGGTGGGATGCTGTTTGGAAGGTCAGTGCAGACTCAATAGGTTGAAAGGCCTCTAACTGAACTCTAGGGATTCTGTGAACCAGATGGAGCGTAAGCTGTACGTCTACAAGCTTCATTGTGTATTAAGGACAAGATAATCAAATGAAATTTGTGTGATCTGACTGTGATACATTTCTCAAATTTCCATGGTTACTGCTGCTCAAACACTGTTGTTTTGCATGAAGGTCATGTAAGCAGTGTAAATGTTGATTTCTCAGTGATGACCAATTACTTGTCACAAAGCACTTTCCATCATCATTGTGGTAGTCCTTCAATGATGCAATCAGTGGGTGTTTATCAACCCTGATTTTAGTTAAAATTAGAATTAGGTTTTACTGTCACAGGTACTCAAGTACAAAAGTACAGTAGAGTGAAGGTGTAGAATGATGCCACACACAGCGCCATCTCAGGTACAAAGTACCTAGTTACAAATCTTAAGTACTAAGATAGATTAGGTACAAAAGTAGAGAAATGAAGAAAAAAGTTAAACATTCTACATTACAGTTTTTCATTGTATAAATTAGGAAAATAAAGAAATTAAGTTAATAGGTAAATATTTCAGTCCTTCTATAGTCTGCAGTCACTTCACACTGGGGGCTTTCCACCATGCCTGGTGATCAGTTAGTAAAGAGCCAGCAATCTCCAACTCAAGTGTCTTCAAGGAGCAGAAATTTCCCATGTCCTCTTTTACACCCAGCTTGACATTCAGTTCAACTGACTAAGTCAGCGTCTGCAACAGCAGATACACCCCAAAATGAGTGACAGAGAAAGAGAAATCTATTACTGTTTATTGTTAATTTGGAAACAGTGCAAACAGGTGAATTTAAGGTCAGCATTGAATTTCAGAGAAACAGAGATTGAAGCCTCATGTCTTAAATACCTCTCGAGGTTTGATGATCTGAACCGATAAATTGTATGTCAACTTTCTCATTCTTGAAATGTCCTGAAATGATTCAGAGTCAACGAATGATTTTTGAAGTAAAGGCACCGTTTGTAGGCAGACAAAGTACCATTAACAGTAATTTAAATAATGTTCAGTTTAATTATTTTGCTTGAGGCATAAGGACTGGCCTGGACATGAGGAAGAACTGTACTACTCTTCATATGTAGCGAATCATTTATTTCCACCTGAAGACACACAAGGGTTTTTGTTTCATGTTGGTTCGGAATCAAAACTGCCCTCCTACCCCACAGCTGGCTTGGAAAACCTGGAAATCTGGTCAACACTGAGAGTGATTGTGGTGTCAACCTATTTGTGTAACTAGGAGTTATTAGTGAGATAGTAAATGACAGCTACTGGAAGAAATATGAAGAGTGATTTGATGGTAAAATGGGGAAAAGTGCAAAATTTGGTGGAACATTTGAGTTTACTCAAAGGTTACAAAGTTTCCATTTGATTATGTATTACATATTGTTGCCTGGAATGCAGTAGCTTTGGAATTGAAAAACCAAGGAATTACGGTTGCTGGAAATCAGAAATGAAAACTGAAATTGCTGGGAAAACTCAGCAGGTCTGGCAGCATCTGTGGAGAGAAACCAGAGTTAATGTTTTTAATGCTTCACTGGATCCAAAATGTTAACTCTGCTTTTTCTGCAGAGATGCTGCCAGAGTTGCTGAGTTTCCCAGCAATTTGTGTTTTAGCTCTGGAATTGATTGTCTTATTGCATTCCACTGTGTTCACATAGCGTTGGGTGCGAGGTATAGTGTTGTGCTGTTGGATATGTGAGATCGGAAGAATGTTATGATGAACATTGGATCAATCTGAACTGGGGTGTTGTGTCCCATGCTGGACACCACCCTTTAGGAAGTGTGTGAACCCTTTTAGAGAAAACCCAGAAAAGGTTTATAAGGATGGCTTCATGGATGAGGCATGTCAGTTATGTGGATACATTGAAGAATTTGGAGTTGTGGTCCAGGAGGAGAAGGTTGGGAGGAGATTTGGCAGAGGTCATCAAAGTCATAGGGAGTCTGGCTGGAGTAGATAGAGAGAAGGTGTTGCAAATATTGAGAGGAACAAGAACCAGAGGATCTCAACACAATGTGGCAAGTCCTAGAACCAAGGAGGAAGGTCAGAGGAATCCTTTTAACACATAGGATGATCTAGATCTGGAATTCACTGCCTGAGAGTCTGGTGGAGACAGATCTAGTTGTAGTTTTCAAAGGGGAATTGAAGAGAAAACATTTTGCAAAGCTTCAGGGAAAATGTGGGGCATGGAGCTGGAGCCAGTATGGTAACTGTGGATCATCTGTGCTTGAACCATGTAGTGATTGCTGGGCACTGGGATCTAGTCTGTTGACTGTGAAGGACAGATTTTGAGAGGAGCAACGCTTTGAAATGAGGAAGTGTTGTCCAAATGTAATGAAGAACATCAAGAGACTGTTCTGTCAAGAGAAAGAGGTTAAGGATTGTGGGGAAAGAGAATAGGGAGGGGCAGCATTCCTGAGATCTGCCCAACTTGTCCTCAGCTGACATTCATCCATTCCAGCATGTATGTTGTATGTAATTGTTAATCGTTGTGGTACTGATCTGTGAGTCCTTCCTGATGGTGGAGGATGGCACCTTTTAAATTTGATCAGTGACCTTCTGGAGAGAAGGTGACACCTGATTGTGTTCTCTGTGTCAACAAAGTTAGTCGTGCAACAGTATTTCACAGGAATGTTTCCAGGGTGGGCTGTTTAATAACAATTTAGCTTTAAATTTATGAACCAAATCCACTCAGATCTGGGACCTATTTTTTGTTTCAATTGCCAATTTTCTCTGCCCTCCTGATAACACCAACATTATTGGTTGGCAGAAACCCTCTGGCATCTCTCCCAAGGAAGCATTGTCCATATGTAATAATGAACATCAGGATACTGTTATATCAAGAGAAAGAGGATGGGGTTGTGGGGTTGGATAACAGGGAGGAATATTGCTATTTACATCTGCCCAACTTAGCCTTAGCTAACATCTGTCTGTTCCAGCATAGATTGCTGGATTTAGTAGTCTGAAGCCCTAATAGCCACTGAGCTCCCTGACTGCTAAAGCCAATGATAGTTCTACTACCTATCTCAACTGGGATCAATTAACCTGGTACAAACCAGAGATGGAATCTGTTTGCTCAATAAACTAACTGATCCAATTGACTGCAGTTGTATACAGCATCTGTTTATATAAGGAATCATTCAACTTCTAAAACTGGTCCCTTGGGAAAAGAAGCAGATTTTATAAATCAACCTCCTTAAGTTAGCAATTTCTTTTATATTACAGAAGTTGCCTCATTGCTGGGACCGGACTCAGGTGTATGCTCATACCTGATAAAGATGTAGTGTACTGAATGTTGTTAAGGGCCAAGGTATGGACTGTGTGCAATAGTGTATAACCTATACATCCTAGAATAGAGTCAAAACCTTTGTTGTCATTGTGGCTCTTCTACACATAACTTGATATACTTGTTCACTCTCTCACTCTCTCACTGTCTCTCTCTCTGCCCCACATCTGTCCCTGTATCTCTCACACACTTACAGCTACATACAAGTGTTGGCCCTCGACATTGCACAGACCCATTATAGAAGTATTTGAGAGATTTCAGCTGAAGATAATTGCAAACTACCCACATTTCCATGAGGTAACATCATAAGCCCAGCATCTGCCCAGAAGGACACAAACAAACGAGCTGTCTTGGTTGAATAAAGAAAGGAATTGATCCATTCGGCATTCGGAGTGCAGTGAAAAATAGCACATGAAACAAGGAAAATTATCACTTTTGAACTGTAACTTGCTGCCAATTAGTCAACACATTTCTGTACTTAGCACTAAGAGAATCCTGTGACATTAAATGTGTGCACAGTGAGACACTCACAGACTGATTCTGAGTCTCCAGATGGAAGAGGAGATTGTGTAAGTATTACCAGGTGACACTTGCCCCTTTCAGATACACTGGGGAGATTCTGTTAATTTTTTTTCCTCACCAAATATTTGAATGTATATTTTCCAATCACCAAATTGTACACTTTTTAGAACAACAACATCAAGCACTTCGACGAATAGTTTAAAAGAAAATAATTCTAATTGCAGAAATACTTTTCCAATTGACTCATTCTAGTTCTACCCAATTACGTATTTGAATCAAAATCATAATCATATTTTAGATCAGGCTGTCACAGGGCCAAAGTAGTATCAGGCTGGCAAGCCCACTGAGAGAAGAGGGTGTTGCTGAGGCTGGTAAGTGAAAGCGAGAGACCTTCAACAGGGAGTTAGTTGCCTTTGGTGACATTATCAAATAAAGAGGCCTGATGCAGGTAGGACCAATAGTGTTGTGTAAGCGAGTTAGGACCCTAGAGCAACCTTGCGGTGATGTCACAAAACTGTGCCTGATTGGGCATAAAGAGCACATTGTGGGCGGAGTTAAGAAGTAAATGAGAAACACTTGGAGATATAGGCCGAAGCCTGGAGTCCAATCAGTTGATGTTAGAAACACGTGCAGAGAGTTATGTGGAATAGAATGATCAGTACTAGGTGGTACAGGTTATAGAGCAGCTTTTCAATTATGGAACAGTAAAAGTAAAGCCTGGTATATTTCTGAATACAAGTATTGAAGTATTCATAAAAAGAAGTAGCTCCTTTGAAAGTGGAGTCACAGCTAGACACAGTAGTTGGTCAGTGCATTGAGTATAGGAGTTGGGAAGTCGTGTTGAGGCTGTACAGGACATTGGTTAGGCCACTTTTGGGATTCTGCATTCAGTTATGGTCTCCCTGTTATAAGAAAGATGTTGTTAAACTTGAAAGAGTTCAGAAAAGATTTACAAGGATATTGCCAGGGTTGGAGGGTTGGAGCTATAGGGAGAGGCTGAATAAGCTGGGAATACTTTTCCTGGAGTGTTGGAGGAAGAGGGGTGACCTTATGGAGGTTTATAAAATCATGATGGTCTGTATAGGGTGAATAGCCAAGGTCTTTTTCCCAGGGTAGGGGAATCCAAAACTAGAGGGCATAGGTTTAAGGTGAGAGGGGAAAGATTTAAAAGGGACCTAAGGGTCACACAGAGGTTGGTGTGTGTATGCAATGAGCTGCCCGAGGAAGTTGTGGAGGCTGGTACAATTATGACATATAAAAGGCTTCTGGATGGGTACATGAATGGGAAGGGTTGAGGGATATGGGCCACACGCTGGCAAATGGGACTAGATGAATTTAGGATATTTGATCGGCATGGGAAAGTTGGACTAAAGGGTCGGTTTCCATGCTATATGTCTCTATGACTCAAAAAACAGATACCTTAGGTCATTGTCGCATTGCTTTTTGTTCAGGAAATGTTGGCAGAGTCAAGGTAGCTTCTGATATTGACACAAAACTGAAGGAACTGTGCCCTAGGTCTCTTGCCTTCCCTGAACATGTAGAGGTACTTTTGCTTTAACTCTTTCTGAAAGTGTTTCCAACAAAACCATTCCCCCATAGTGCCTCATAATGAACAAGAGCTTTCCAAGGAACACTGTTAATTTTGCCTTTGTTTATTGTTGTTTATTGTTAATTTTGTTTATTGTTTATTGTTGTTTATTGTTAATTTTGTTTATTGTTAATTTTGTTTATTGTTAAT